TCTTACTATATGTGCTAGCGGGGTCAATCAAAAGCTATTTTGTAGAGCGTGTTTTACTGCGTCTTTTCATCATAGAGAGAAATTTACAAACATGTGTTTTACTTTAGAAAAATTATTATACAAATCGTATCAGGACTTATGGGCCACCCTGTACAAAGATAAAATGGAAAGTGAAAATGATAGAAAAACAGAGAATGGTCTCATGTCTGTGAAATATAAAGAACAAATGATTGAATTAATGTATAAATATTATTCAGCTACAGATTTAAAAATTGCACAAAATCTGGAACAATTAGCTGATATTTATAAAACTCTGCAGAGACACGATGGTGTACTTATTAACCTCGAGAAAGCACTTGAAATACGTCTTCAAGAAGTTGATCCCCGTTTGTCTCCAATTATTGCTATATCTCAAAATATTACCAATCTGTATATTAAGCATAGACAGGACTTTCAATCAGCATTGCAATATCAACTAATCAATCATAAATATACACTCGAATATAATGAATTAAAATCGTCAGCGTCGAAAGATTCGAAGGAAGATGTGGAGGAGAGTCGAGAAAAAATAGCTGGGAGTCACATTGGATTAGCTGATCTTTATTTAGAATTACAGCAATACGATTCAGCCATCGAACACTTAGAAATTGCTATGACGTTATATAAACAGGTTAAAAAGTCGTTTGAGAAACAAGAAGCGATCGAAGAGAAGGTGAAGTCTATTAAACAACAACAACAGTAACACCATTAGCTTTTTAACTGAAATACTAGCTCGAGATAGTTTGGAATCAGAAACTGACTATGACGTAGTTCGGTAGAACAAAAAAATGAGTTTTGAGATACACTTTTCATTGTGAACTTGCATGAGGAAAAACAGCTTCTAAATATAAGTTTATCTTTCACAAAAGTGATCCAGCCTTTTCTGCTAAGAAGGCCCCAAATTCGTAGATTTTCAGTCAGTGGAACTCCTTGTTGCTGCCCGCAGCTCACAAAGTTAATAGAGACATTGTATTTGAAATACGGTAACGGACATTACAGCGATAAGGAATAGCTCAATAAGGGAAGCCTTCTATACTAAATTAGATAAAACTGAGTTTCATTGATTTTATACTTTAAAAGATGGAGTTTCTATAGTTATAATAGTATTTTTTTTAATCTATATTCTTATTATTACCTTATATTTTTGTTGATTCAGAGAATTTTTTATTTGTAGATTCTTTGAAAACCCCTGAGCATATTAAACCTGAGTGATATTTTTTGTTTATTTATTGTATCTTACGAAGGGTACCTAATAAATAAACTTGTATAGATAAAGAAACTTGTATCTTAATTAGATTTCCTACTAATTTTATAACTAGAAATATTTAACTTTTTTTTGTATGTCTGATGAGTGAGAGTTAAATTATTTTTTGGGTATATGAGTTACATTATTTATTAAGTTGACTTAAAAGAAAGATGAATTTATTAGTAAATATAATAGTTTGAATTATTTTTTAAAAGTATACATTGTAGTGGCGGATCCGGAATTATTTTTTGGTACGTGCGGTATACGATAAAAGTGCGAGATACGTGCGGTCGTCATAGAAACAAATTATTCTAAGAGAGATCTGCTGGGAAAAAACAGCTTTTTTGGTTAAAAGGTACGAGCGGTCGCTCGTACCGCTCGCGGGCTGGATCCGCCACTGACACATTGCTCGTCAGCTTTATTATAAAGTAAGTCGTAAAATAGTGTATAAACTAGAAAATTTATATGGATGATATTTTTTTGATACAATTTAAATAAAATTTCCATGGATTTTTGAACAATCTCTTCAACATCATGTGCATAGCGAAATCTTCCCAGTGGACGCTGTTGAATGAATGGCGGAGAGACGGTGTGGACGTAACCAGAGTACTTTTCTCTCCAGATAAAAACTAAGCTTGTTAAAATATCCGTTGATGATAAAAGTTGTTTTTATTGTTCTCTCTTTACTATAACTTTGATTATCTATCGGTCGGACAAGCGACAAAAGCCGATAAAAAACCTTATGTTTTTAAGATCTCCAATATCTCAATTTCAGAAACAGACTTTTCTGCTTGAAGTTTCCTTCCTATTGACATTCGGATAATATGAAATATATATTAGCGATGTCTCATTTGATATTGATGCTATTTAGTGTGTGTAAAAACAGAAAACTATATCAATATTGTTCGCTCATTGTATTAGTTTTGTCGTTGTCATCGCTATCTTTTGGTTTTTTCCGTTCAATATATTCCATAAGTAGATAACCTGTCATAGCAATAGTCAAGTAAATAATCTGCAGAATGATCGACACTTGCACTTTCAATAAAGATGCGTACAGAAATATTATCATAAAGCCTAACGGTTGACACACACCGTTTGTAGCATAGGCTGGCTCAAGTGATTTCGGAAATATAGTACCGTAGATAGCTGAAACACAAACAAAAATGTATAAATGCAATACCAAAGGCATACAAAACTGACCCGTTGTAATCGGATCAAATATGGCATCAGCAACTCCGAATAGACCAGCTATAATGAACACAGGATACATTTGTGTCGGTTGCCATTTGAGCAATGCTCCGAATAGGCCATAGCTAAGCAACGCAGCAACCAACATACACGGTAGTCGCCCGATACGTTTATGGACAAAACCAATAAGAAGACTAACTATCGAATCACATATACCGAATGCGACCATTATTAGGCCTAAATAAAAGCAATCCAAGAACACTATCATGGTGCAACCGAATTCTTACCAACATATTCTATTCCAAATGGACATGTGATAAAACTCTAAACAGACCAAGAGACATATATCACGTTCAAAATTTTGAAAGGAAAAATATACCCTAGTAAATACACTATAAACAAATGCTTCGAAAGTTCCAATCCAGATGGATAATGGTATGAGTAGCAATTGATTTCGGCTTTTCATGTGTCTCAGTGTAGACAGGGCATAGTGCAGTGAATCGTTGAATAATTGTTTTTTGTTCTTATTCTTCTCTATGAAAATAAACGTTTATCAAATTTCTCAGGCCTCAACTTCAAGCGTATTGCCCGTCGAGAAAATAAGAGTAGGACTGATTCGTTATGCGCGCAAACATCCATTACAAGCATGGGTGTCAGTGCAATATTTTTCCGCTTCGATAAGACAGCGAAAATAGTTTTTCTGAAATGGCTCTCTCTAGTCTCTTCATATGGCAGACTTTTCGCCTGTCAGAAACAGAGCTCACGCCTTCAGTTGGCGTTCCCAAAATGGTCATCACGAGCACGTTCTGCTATGATCACACATGTCAACCACCTCAGACCTTTACACCAAAACAACTATCATACTTCCATACACGCTACAGATACTTGAACCTTGAATGTGACGCTATTTGTCGTTTCGGATATTCTTACGTCAGCTTTGATGCCACAGTTCGCATATTAGATTGCTAGTTAGTTGATAACCTATTCAAGGGCGCTTTCATCTCAAAATAACCATAAAAGATTTCGACTAAGAGACAAGCAGATGGAACTTCTTGACGAGCAGTTCCGACGGTAGTCCACAACTATAGCTTACAACTAAGATTGCTAACCATTGAAACTTTTGAATAAGTTCTAATTATTTTAAACCAGTTTCAAGATTCAAGGGAATTCGAACCAATTTAAAGCAAAAAACGTTCGTATCAATTAAAATACCTTTTTGCATTCAAAACTAATCAGACTAATTTAGAATTCTGAATAAAGATGAACTAAAAACTTCGAAATTAATTCACATTAATTAAAGAAAACGATAACAATCGAAGCTAGTTGTTCGTTAGTGTATTTTACTGCCAGATCCAAAAAGACGCATATTAAATCGATGCAAACTAATTTATAATGTGCAATTAGTTTAAATTAGTTTCTAAAGTTCAAATTCATTTCAATTACTTCTTTAAACTTTTCTCAACTAATTTTGCGCGAAATTATTTCAGATGAGTTTACCATTCAACAAATGATAATCAATAATTGCTCATCAATACACATCAGAGTCTTTACAGATTGCTACGTTTTTCAACCTATAACCTAACCTGGCCTCTGATCTTTTTGTTTTTTTACTTCCAATCCACACAACATTGTAATAGTATTTTACAAAAATAAGCACACAGTTCATTCAGTGTTTTGACTTTTAGAGAACGTAGGTGTGGGTGTTGGAAAATCAGAAAAAAGTTTCATTCAGAAATTCAAAAAAATCATCATTTTCGCAGAAGTAGAAAGAAATAGAAAAAAATTATCAGACATGCTGGATTAAATTTAAAATCTCCTGATTCTGGTGACTACATGTCCATTGCTGACCATATGCCATTTCTGGTTCGTTACTCGACTTTCCCATTCATAACATATCCCGCAGATCATTACGCTATACTCTCTTATAAATAATATTCATCTAACGAGGGAACATCCCGAAGTGAAGCGTTCCTTTTTCATTCGTTGTTATAAGCTTTATTTATTCAAGAAAAGAATGAGAAACAAGTTTAAATAAGTGAAGAGAACAAAAAGAAAGAGGCGAACCCATTGTATCATTTTGTCTATTCATACATAAGAAAAGATGCAACAGTATACAAATTATCGAAAAGAAA